GGGGGGTGATTCCTGGGTGGGGATGATGGTGGGTTGGGAGGGTTAACTGTAGAGTAGCCACAGGCAGGGGGAGTGCAGAGTTGGGGACTGGGTTCCCCGGTCACAGGTGCCGCCCTCTGCTGAGCACAGTGTCCCTCAGTGCCTGTTGTGGTGATCACCGGGAAGTCTGTGCGGCCTAGGTGGACCCTATCTGCTAGAGCGTGCCACCCCTGTGGCTGTTCTGAAGGTGGGCGAGGACGCCTCTGCCGGCTGAGAGGAAAGGTCACACAAACGCTTCAGAGCTCCTCCTCTCTGGGCGTCTGTCAGGCCATCCCCTGCCTTGCTGCCTCCCCAGCCTTCTTGAGTGAGCTGGCTGGCTGGCAGATGCAGGGATGCACGTCCCTCTGATGGGTGCCTCCAGGCCCTGGTGTCCCGGTCCCCGCCCGCCCTGGCCATGGGAGCTTGGTGGCCTGTCAGCAGCCAACAGCCCTGAGCAGAGGAGAAGCCAGAAGAGCATTGAAGGCGGGGAGACTTTACCAGCAAGGGGGATTGAGTAGGAGGCCATCGTTTCTGTATGTTCTCAAAGCCCCGCAGGTGACCACAAGTGTATGGCCTGAACCCGGGTTACCCCCCGTCCCCCGCCGCCACCACGTTTTGAGGAATTGGGAGTGGCAACGCTGATGAGTGTCAGGTCGGAATGTAGGAAGTTTTGGTCCTCAGGTACGTGAGCAAGCTAGAAGGAATTCCAGAAGGCACGTCGTGTGGAGAATGCAGCAGGTCTTGGATTTGGTCTCACGTGCGGAGTCATCTGTGTGGTGCCGGTGTGGGAGCCAGACAGGAATCCAGGCGGTTAGAGCTCTCCGGCACCTCCTCGTGTGCAGTCGTAAGTGCCATCAGGTCGGCCTCAGCGCACACGGCAAGGAAATGGTTTCGAGATCGTGTCCAGTCTCATTTGGGAGGGGTGTGAATGAAGACAGCTCACGGGGCCAGTGTTCAGATCGCGGGGTTCAAAACAAAGGCCGTCCTAAACATTGCCACCAACTGTTCCCTGTGAATTTTCCTGTCATCGTTTGGTGAGCACGGGGTTGCTCATGAACCGAATCTGTCGATTTATGTTTAAAATGCTTTGTATTCTGGTGAGTTGGGTGGTGAGACTGTTGAAGATGATGAGAACATTGAGCATGTCTCTGTCAAAGCTACGGAAGACATGCTAATTCTGGGGAGAGGGGAGAGAATGTATTTCGTCCCAGGTGCCTGCACCTGGGAACACGTCCTTGACCGTGGGACGTCGCTGAGAGCTGCAAGCTTGCTGGAGTCACTGGCCGGGTGTCCGCAGCCCTGGCCAACTCCTTGGACTGTCGGGCCAGTTAGACTGGCCCAGCACGAAGTCCTTGTTAGCTTGGTGGGTTGTCCCTGACCAACACGCTCTTAGGAAAAGCCCATTTGTCGACGTGTGTATGTAATCCCTCTGGGCCTTGGTAGATGGGCTCTTCGGGTTTTCCTCCGCTCCCTGACAGGTGGTCTCGTAGGTGCCCAGGGAAATGAGCCATGGGGTATGCCCATGGGCACAGTGCAAGGTTGGGTAGCTGTGTGGTGCCCTGGCTGTGGACAGAGCAGGCATGTGGCTGGGGAGAGACTTGGGCACAGTGCTTCCAGTATCCGAGCGGAGATGGAAAGGAACAGGGTCTTGTGGGTCCGATCCTGGGTGGGGCAGCATCTGAGGGCAGCCATAGGCACAGAGGCCCCCGGCACAAGCGCATCTGGTGGTGGGGGGGCCGCCTGCAAGCCAGTGGGCCTAGCCCCAGAAGGGGTATTTCAGGAATCTCTGTGACTGGGAAGAGCAGGTTCTTGGGACCTCGTGGAATGGACAGATGTCAACTTTCTGAATGTCACTGTGTCTGTGTACGGAAACAGCCCTCATCATTGCCGTGGTGGTTTTCATAGATCACATTTCTCAGGAACACCGCTCCCTTGTAGGCAAGGGAGGCAGTGTTTTGTTTTCGGAGAACCATAGCGGGAGTCGTTCTCTGTCTGCGGGAGAGGTGGATCAGCCCCATGGCCCCAGCCAGCTCGGTTCCCGTGCCCCTGCCATGGCGTGCTCTTACAGCAGCGCCTGGAGTCTGTGGTGTAGTTGCACCCGTGTGACGATGACTCACTGTCCCGTGGTCCCCAGGACGCGACAGACAAAGCAGCAGGGTGGGATTTCACCTTCCAAGGCATATGCGGCTTGTGCCGGCTGCCATCTCGAGATGGTGGCATGGTGCGCTGCAGCCGCAGGGTGCCAGCCCTGACCTCTGTGAGGACCCAGCTTGGCATCTGCCTTGCCCAGCAGGCCACAGGCCCCTTGCTGGTGGATGGAAGCCAGAGGGGTGATGAGGTGCCCGGGGCCAGGGCCCAGGGGTGTCCACAGGGGTGTGCCTTTCAGAGGGAGAGGTGAAGGCAGTTGCTGGAAGCAGGTGGATTAGGGGATGAGTGGGGACACAGAGAGTTGGTGGGTGTTTGTGGGGTTTGGGCCTAAGGCAGTAGGAGGAGGTCAGGGGTTCAGTGTGGGGGACAGTAGGAGAAGAGTCTGGGGGGCGGATGTCCTGTGGAGGGGGTAGTGCTAGAGTGGGATTATGGAGTATGCAGGCAGTTGACCGGCGGAGGGCCTCCAAACAGAGGATGGCACAGGCAGGCATGTCAGCAGAGGTCCTCAGCACCTGGTTGTCCCGGGTCCCACGTGTGGCCAGAGGCAGGAAGAGGTGGTGGATAGGTGGGCAGACATGAGAAGT